TAAGAGCCATTAAGGAACTATCTAGAAGTAGTATTAGAGTAGAAGAAATGGGGTCCAACCATTACAAAGACTTTTCTCAGCCCACTCTAAGCCAACAAACAGCAGCTCAAATCCTGACGCTACTTACACGTTCATGAAAAAGCCTGCCTCTCTTCTAATAAATCTACATCAACTGCAGGAGCTGGTTTTTGATCTCATCTCTGCAAGTCACATTTTTCTAATTACAGTCTGATATTAGAAGGCTTATACAGTCATTAAGTTATTGAATCACACGATTCAGGCTCTCCCCCCCTCCCAATTTGATGGGGTTTACAAGGAAACTGAACGAAGTAGCCCTTTTTCATTGTGAGCATGTTAGGTCTATCTGTCAGTCAATGCATTAGAGAGTTAAACTACAATCAAGCACTTAACTGAGCAACCATATTATTTTCCCTTGAGTAAAGCAGTTTTAGCTCTTCTGGACTACTGAACAATATCCTTCCTAGAATGTGCAAGTTTTGCAGCCATACTGAAAATGATCTTATTCAGCAGTATATGTTTGGGGTTTTTTTGTTTGCTTTACAAAAAAGAAAGAGTGAGCAACACATGACTCCCAAGTTAGAGCTGAGACTCTCTTGAATCTCAGTGAGTTGGTTCAGCTAGAAAAACAACTTTACCAAAAATTAATATTTCTCCAACTTTGAAACTCCCTAAACTAGCTCTCCATTGAGTCAGATGAATGCCAGCTATAACTCAAAACTGGATGGAAAAAAGTTACTTCGAGGTAACTTCTAGCCATTTTACTGCCTGATTTAGTGATGCAGTCAGGCTCCATAACTCAGTTCCCTCCAGGCCAAGGTTATTCAGATATTTCTCTCACAATGCAAAACACTGTTCAAGCAGAATTGGCTTTCCCCTTAACCTTCCTTTGCCATCTTCCTTTTGCTCATTCCTTGCCCTGTGCCAGGGTAAGTTGTTCACACAACTCTTTTGTACCAGATTAGGGACTCTAAATTAAAAATTAATGAAAAACTTTTAAGTTACTTCAACTCAGACCCATTCATTGTACACTCTCACAGCTAAAGCAGCTGTGCAGTAAAGGAAATGACCAGCAAGGATGCAGGGCCTACTTGTGCTCAACCTGCCACTGAAATAGGTTTCCATAGAATTACAGCTTCACTGCCACTTAACTCTCATGGCAACAGGCTGAAGTGGCTCTTCTTATAACCACCCCCTGACAGATACAAACTACTGAGAAAGAGGAATTCCATAAAATGAAAGAAAAAGAAAAGCCAGCATAAACTAACTGTATACTTAGCTAGCAGTGACTAAAACAGTAATAGAATGGGTTAGGTTATGCCATTGTTTCGAGCCACTGAGCCACAAAACTGTTGATATCTGAAATAAGTATTAAATAAGGAGAGCTTTCATCTAAAATTTCCATGAAATGAACCAGAAGTAGTAACAAGAGCAAGAAGAGACTCCCGGATATTAAAAGCTTATGAACTCACATGAGCAACAACTGACAACTTAATTAGTTAGTATTTACAATGAAACAGCAACCCCCAAAATGAGTTCCTAGTAAATACAAACCTCCGCGGGCACTGTAGCAAATGAGTTTTCAAATCTACCTCACAGAACATTTTAAGATGTTTACAGGAATTTCTTGAAGCGTGAATGGACATAAAGACAACGCATGTATTCACACAAAAATATATTTTTGAAAAACAGTGATGGAAACGAAAACCAACAATTGGGAGTGGAAGTTTCATCTCTAAAATAAGTAAAATTAGCTTTGGAAGAGGCTGTGACAGGCACTGAAAGTGAAAGAGAGAGTTTTAAGTTTGTTGCAACACAGCAGGGGAAGCCAGTAAGGGGAGACAACCAGAGCAGTCAATTCAAACTGACCAGTTAAGAATGATCTTTACAGCAGCATTCTGAATGCATATGAGATTTTCTGATAAACAGAAGATTAGTCAGGGCAAAATGACTTTAACTCAGTCTCTAGGTTGATGTTACAAGGGTAACTAGTTTGAACCCAGCAGTTTAAGTCATCTCTATTTAAAGTTTTCATGCTTCTCAAAACACTAAGATTTAGGAAACCTAGGAAAGGATTCCTAAACATCGGATCTCTTAATGTCAATGGACACTTAAGAACTTGAGACTTTCCCCTTCAAATAAATCAGACAGCTGAACCCTACAAATTGTTACAGTTACTCCTCAATAGGCATATCGTGTTTAGAAATTGCTAGAGTGGGATAAGAATGACCATTTAACTCACATGGTAGTCAAATTTATCCCAGTTTAAGGTTTTGTAAGATCCTGTTACTGAAAGAAAACAAACGAGAAACCATTAACAGGCTTAAGCTCTTTTTTATTCAAATTTGAAAAAGTGTACCAAACATCAAATGCTCACTTACAACATCTGCATTAGATTCTGCTCCTGCATGCATGTCACTAAAAAATGCCTTTTCAAGTCTTATGAACATTAAATAATGCTACTGCAATAACCACAGACTTTCCCTCAAAAACATATCCAAACTTTATTTTAATAATTTGATTTTATATCAATAAAGCCTCACACACTGTAGAGTATCTATACAGTATAAAGGTACCTACTACTACTCCTGTGATAAGCACAAAAAGAGCAATAAGAGATGACTATCACTATTGACTAAGGAAATTCCTGCCAACAAGTTGTGTTATTTACCTTAAGACTATATTTCAACTCTTATCCTTAATTTTAGGATGTAGGTGCAAAGCATTAACAGTTTGTATAACACGCCTTCTGAAGGCGATACTGATCATCACTGGTGCAATCAATTTTTTCCACCTATACAAAGACTGATACTAATTTGGGTATCCTAACATTTCATAACAATTAAAAACTTGCGCTCTTATCTTATTTTTAAAATCAGCATCACAAGTTAGGCAACTGTATTTATTCTCAGCCTTCCAAAGGTGCACTGAAACTAGAATTTGGTACAACAAAATGATTTCTTCAGCACTGTACTTAGAGAAGCTTAGGGTGACCACGCATACATGCTTATAAAGTCATAGCAAACACAGGCTCAGTGCCACTGACACTGTGTAACAATAAATTAGCTCTTGAGATGACCAAATATTCTGGAAAGTTCAGGATTAAATCAAACATACAACAATCTGCACATTCGTAAGACCTATCAAAATGATCTGCCAGCACCTACATCACCACTGAGCTTTCCACTTCAGACTAGAATTCTGTATTTCTCCTTGGAAAATAGTTTTTTAAAAATAAAACGTCTAAGGGAAATACTTCAAGATCTGAAGTAGTACACCATTTCTATTAACCTACTTGAGAATTTGTCAATAACTGCATAGCTATGCAGTATCCATTTAAGTTAAACTGAATTTGAACACTTCGGGAATCCCTACCTACCTGAAATGACTGATTATACTTGCCTACAATACATACAACTAGTATTAGTCCTTCAGATGGCCAACAAATTCTCACTCACCACAGCTCTGGAGAACATTTTTAGATAAGGAAAAATTAGTTCAATCACTTTAAGAAGAAAGCTCTTATGACTGCAGAAATAGCCATCCAAATGTAACGCCATACTATTGCAAGTCTGCAAGAGAGAAGAAGATTCCACTAGACTAACCTGTTCTGTGGTCACTTTTCAGAGGCCCTAATGCAAACAGAAGCTGACACAAGTTCTTTATCAGCTGCACAGCAACATAATACAACACAAGCAGTCATTAGAATTAATTCATAACTAATTATACTACTACAGAAGAATAGGACTGTTCTCCCCTTGTACCTCTCAAATGCTCAAGGGCGAACTCGTTCCTTCCTGCAAGGAAAAGGAAGTCCCCAATTTTGTTCTGCATGTCTGTGAAATTGACCTTAGCAGAGACTAAATCCCTGAAAAGAGTTTAGGGACAGCATAAATCCAAATGCTTCCCTGTTTCAACAGATAAACATACACCCTCATCAGGCAACCGTGGTATATTTCATATAGACAAGACAAGCCTCCCTGTCTTAAAGTTATATTGAAAAAAAATTAATTATTTTAATCCTCTACTTTTAGTGATCAGGAAACAAGAAAAATTAGGCTTACAGGTTAAAAAAAAAAAAGAATACAAGGAAACAGTGAAAATGGCACAGTGCAAATCCTAAAGTACCACGACAAACTACTCCACCACCATAAACTGAAGTAAGGACTTCAGCAACTAGACAATCCTCCACTGCCAATGGCTTTTAGAAAGCTGCACAGAGTGCATATTAGCTTCCTCTAAGGTCTGGTCCATACAGAGAATGCCAGTTACTGATATCTGTTCCCTCAGTGAAGGAAGTTCATCGTTCTGTTACACAGAATTTTGATCCCATGAGTAATTTCCCAAAACAGCAGTAACATCAACAATGGCATTAACACTGCAACAGGAAACAAAAAGTGTCCTCCTGACACTGCTGATATGCATTTTACTTTAAACCTTAACTTCCTCAGGTGTTTTGTCATCTTTTGTATCACAAAGATCACACAATCACGAACGAGCTTTAGTTAAAACTACGATTTTTTAAAAGTTCTTTTTAAGGAATATTAATATGGCACTCCAGCTGGGTTCATTACAAGAACCTAGTAACGCTAAATGTTTGAGATGGGAAAAATATACTCACTTTTTGTTTTAACATGCCAGGCATGTGTTTTGTTTTTTTTTGTTTTTGTTTTAAATTTGACATTATCTATTCCTTTGTTTCCTCTCAGCAAGAAAAGCAAGCTATGCATACTCGATGTGACTGCTTTCTCTTCCCCTTCCCTCAAATTCTCTCACTTTTTCTTCACAGATCTCAATCTACTCATTGAATCCAGAACAGATCAGTTGCAAGGACTCTCTGGAAGTCACCTGGTCCAAACAACCCTCTCAAAGCAGGATAACTTTGAAGTTAGATGCATTAATTATTAAATAGATATTAAACATACAAATACTAAAAAAAAAAATTTATTCTTTTCACTCAGGCTTGCATTCGCAGAACTTACTGAATCCAAAAAGAGAGAACCAGTAACTGAAATAGCGCAGCAGCATGTAATTGTTTGCAGAGACCACGATGTCGTCTTTATCTGAGAAGACCTGAGCACAACGAGGAGCCTTCTACGGCGTGACTGAAGTGCCTCCCGCTGCGAGCTCCACAGAAAGCCCATTACACAGGGCAGCCTCTGCCCAAACGCGAAAGCGGAGCCACTCCA